ATAAAATTATTCTTTGGGAATTTTTTTAAGGTTTCTCCTTATTGGTCCATTTAGCATTTATTTTTTAATTATAATATTTATTTTTAATTAGACCAAATATCTAACACATTTAGTCATATACTTTAATTCATACTTGAAATCCACACTTTACTATTAAATTGTAACTTAAATTATATAACCTTTCAATTGACTATTTGTTTCCTCCATTCAATTTCAATTAACACACTATAAAATATAATTATAACTCCTCTAATTTAATTATTTTAGAATTATAACTTACATCATATTTTATCCTATAAATACTCATTTTTACATCCTCCTCCACCATATCTGATATTTTCAATATTTTCTTTGTTTAATTTTTAAAGTTCTTGCATGGGTTGAAAGCTCAATTAAGATATCATTGTAAGAGCTTGATTATATATTTGGTTAAAACTTTTGTTTTCAATTATATTTCTTCTTTATTTTATGTACTTTTTTATTTTTCATTGTTTTTATACTATTAAATATATAATACATATGTATAATAATATTTTATGGCTATAAGGAAATTACTTTATCGATGGGATTCAAAAATATTGATTTCTGACCATCGCACCATAAGAAAATCAAGCTAAATAAACCATCTTCATTGTTTTACTTTATATGTTTTTTTCTTTCTCACAAATTCATGTATATTTATTTTATTTTCAAAGTATGTAATTATTTTAACAAAATAATTTTTGGTTATATTCAAAACAATTTGTAAGACATTGAAATAAATAAAGTTTTATACACAAATAAAGGTAATTTGTGTGTATATTCATAAGTTTACACATATATGTGGATAAATTTTAACATTTTTAGTGGTTGTTTTGATAAAGTTTCAAAATGGGGTATATTTAAAAAGTGGTATTTTTAAAAGGGTATTTTTAAATTCTCCCAATATAATTCCTATTTTTATCATTAACAATATTATTGTTTTATCAAAAAATACTTAAAAGCACTAAAGAAAATTACTATCAAAATTGAACAATTAATCAACGAATAAATTCAAAAGAGATGGATGTATGCTTCTATTGTATGATTTAAATAAATAAAATGTAAAAGTGTTATAAACATTAAAATTTATTTAATCTATAACACTATAAACAAACCAATTTTTATTTATACCTATCATAACTAAACGATTAACTAAAACTAGAGAATCATAAGATGTTAGCCGCTACACTCCCCATCACTTCTCTTAATGCGCTAAAACCATACAAAGTTAATTGGCGTATTCAAGTGAAGGTTTTGCATATTTGGAAGCAGTATTCCACCAAAATTGGTGAAACAATTGAGATGTTTTTGGTCGACATTTCTGTAAGTTACAATTATAATAATTGTTCATTATAATAGTATTGATTTTAATTATATAAGTTTGATATTAAATTTTATTTGCTTTGAATTTTTCATAGGGTCATTAGATTGCTGCTAAAGTCAAAAAGGAGCATATCAAAAAGTTTGAAAAAATTTTAATCCCAAATTCTTGGATCATTATTTCTATTTTTGCTTTAACTCCTTTTTATGGTGCATTGAAAATATCGGACATAAAGTTTAAGATTGGTTTCACGTCGAAAATAATTGTTACCGCTTCTGAAAACATTTCCGACGATATGTTTCTTCAATTGGCCAGTTATGATGACGTTCTTAATGGGAAACAAAACAAGAGTTATTTATTTGGTTAGTTATGTTTTTATTAGTTTTAAATTATTTTAAATGTTTAGTTAAAATCTATAACTAATTTTGCTTACTTTTCACATTGCAGACTTTTTGGGCCAAGTCGATAATTGTGCTAAGATTCAAGATATTCCTACTTCTACTAAGCCTACCAAGAACATCGACTTTCACTTGAGAAACAACGAGTAAGCTTACAAATTTTCAAGTTTAAATTAACAATTCATGAAAATACTTGGTAGGAAATATTTCTATTATTTTCAAATATTAATTATTCGCTATAATAGGGGTACTCGAGTGTTATGTACACTGTGGGGAAAATATGATGAATCACTAAGTCAAGCATGTCAAGAATCGACGGATAGTATTGTATTTTGTTTGATACGATTTGCCAAAGTCAATGTTTTCAACGGTAACATAACAATTTACGTGATATATGGTTTTACATAAAAATATATCCTGTATACAGAGTAAAAGACTTTCACAATTACAATCATAAATATTTATTCACTAATTCAGATGTTTGGAGTGTTTCTAATTCTTATGACTCATCACAATTGCTTACTAATATGGCCATACCTATGTTTGAAGACATTAAGAAAAGGTATGTTTCCGAAAAAGATTAAAATTAGTAATTATTTACTCTATAAATGTTATAACTAATATCATTTTATTTTGAATATTATGTAAACAGCCTTACCAGTGATGGTTTGGAATTGACGGTCGTGAGTAACTTACAGACAATTGTCTTTTTTGGTCGTACTAAAAAAGAAGACATGGATGAGTATCCTATCATGACTATTGAGGAAATGCTGAAAGCAACTGAGGTAAGTTTCATATTTTCGTTTACTTATTTTAAGAAGATGTTTTATCTTACAATCCATTCTACTCACATGTCCATTTACCCAATTTTAGGTTGGACCGTGTCGCACTCTTTGTACGGTTAAAGAAAATGATACCGACTATTCTTGGTTCTAATATGCATGTCAAAAATGCACCAAAAAATTAACAAGGAAGACGTCATTAAGCTGGAAGATGTTAAAACAAAACCTATACCAAAATTCTGGTGTGAGGTCTGTAAAATTTACGCTAAAGGCGTCTCTCCAAAGTGAGTTTTTTTAAAACAAAATATTTTTATATTCCGATGAAAGTTGATTCATTTTATTTAGTATTGATATGTGTTGTCATTATCATATAATAAGGTTCTGGATTCACCTTAATGTCATGGACCATATTGGTGAGACAAGAGTTATGTTGTTTGACAGTTTTGCTGAAGAAATCGTTGGGACGGCTGCAACTGACATTATACCTAAAGGATCATTTGATTTGGTATATTATTTATTAACATTATACCAAATAAAAATTTAATCAGAATACATTACTAACTCAATGATTATATAGTTTGAAGATCCCACAGATTTGCTAGATCCGATCAAAGCTTTAGTTGGGAAATCATTTGTTTTCCTTCTTTGCATCGAGCCCAAACATATTCATGGTAAATGTGACATTTTTAGGGTTGCCCAAGTTTCTGATGGGAAAATTTCATCAGTCCCTGAAATTTCCTTATCAGATACATATGTTGATCAATCATCATTTTACTCGGCTGATCAGGTTAGTAATTTTAAAATGGTAATTTATCAATAGTAATGTCATCAAATTATTCTATATACACAAGGGTTAGGATTTATATATCATCTCTTACATAATTTAAGTTTTATAGGGTTCTCTGATGATAAGCAATGGTGTTGAGACCTCTGAAGTTGGTATCTCTACTTCCTCAACTCCATCATCAAAAAGAGATTCGAGTAACCTGAAAGAAGGAGATGTCCAATCATCAACATCCAAAAAGCAATGTTCGAAGATGGGTGAAGTAGATGATGTCAAGGTTGCTACAAAGGAAGAGAAGGAAAAACATAAACTTGACTAATTTTCTGTCTCGGTTTTACAAACATTCTAGGATTTTTTTATTTTTTTTTATTTCATAACTATTTCCTTGTTTGGTTTAATTTATTTAGTTTCGAGTATCTATTGCTTTTATATATTTTGATCGGTTTTAATATTTTAAAATTTTTAAAAGTAATGGGTTTAACTGAAATTAAACCAAAAAAGAAGGCCCAAAATTAGCCCAAATTTAAATATGATTAGCTTATACAATTATTACTTAAAATGGGCATACAAAGGAAAAAACCAAGTTCCAATAATTTTTTTGCATAGGAAAAATAAAATTAGTCATGATTATGATTACTCAATCCTATACATAGATCAGTTTATCGATTGAATACATCTCTTAAAAATTCACAATTGACGAAAAATAATGAGGAAAATAATTGAAAATTGTAGTTATGTAGTGTAATTTGTATTTCTTTGTAAATCCTTATTATTGAATACATCATTTTATGATATATTACTATTATACTTACCAAATATTCTTATGTTTTGAAAATCACTTTCATGCAGACCCTTATATATTTATTAGACAGCTCAGAGATCATTGAAATAATAAAATACATATAAACTTATCTTACATATGTTTACCAAATAGTCAACATTTATACAGAAGCTAAAGTCTATGATATGATTGATATGGAAACCATAAGACACTAATATCTTCTATATTGATCTCAATTCACTCTAAAATATTTTAATATTACGAAAAGGCATTATTCTTTTCCTATTAACCTTCGGAACGATACAGATCAAAAGTCGCATATATTCACTATATTAAAAACCGTTTTTTTTTACTTCCATTAACATAACGTCAAAGAAGACGAAACTATTCAACCCTAACTCCAACCTTAAATTTAATCTTTCAAAAACTTAATCATGTCAACCATGAAGATCGATGCAATAGCTGATTTAACCCCAAGAAGTAATGGTTCCATCGTAAGGGCCAAGGTTTTAAGTACTTGGCATGCTCGTGATTTCTTTATGAAAAGGGTTATGGTACTCGCTGATATAAAGGTAATTCACTTTCTTAAATTGACGTTTAAATTTATATTTATAGATTACTTAGTCAATAAGTTTAGATTAAGAAAAGGAACAATTTTTGTAGGGTGATAGAATAGAGTTAACGATTCCTCCCGGTTTGAAGAATCCTGAAATACCACGACACGTCTATGATGGTGAGTGGTATATTATAAGGGACTTCAAAGTCATCCCTGCTATTCTTAAAGAGAGGAATACAATTTATCCATACCAGATAAAGCTAACAGAGAAGACCTACATGATGGAGATTAGTCCAGATTCACTGAAGAAGTTTTACAGGTTTGAAGATTTCCACCATGTTGCTAGAGAGTTGCTTCCATCTAACAACTCTTACGGTTAGTGATTTTTACTTTTTAGTTCTACAAAACAAATATATAATCGTACAACTATATGATCCTTACATTTAATAGCACTTAGTCATAAAATTGGATTTTGTGATTATGTTAGATTTCTATAGCTGCATTGTTGATGTTAGTCAAGTGAAAGAAGAGGATTTTACTGACAGTAAAGATGCGATGACTATAAAGATCAATGGATTAGTTATCAAATTGATCAATGGGAGGTTAGATTTGTAGTAACTTATTTACCATCTGGATTACTTATTCAGTGATGATGAGAAGTCTTAGTTAAAATGTTACATCTTTTCAGGAATGAACAACTTCTATGCCATATGATTGGCGGTGCTGTTCAATACTTCAACAACCTTTGGCAAGAAGGTGGGTACCATCTGACATACAAAACGGATCTTGTGTTTTGTATCTTTCGTTTATGGCGAGTGTCTAAGTATGAAGGTAAGTATTGTATATTTTGTTTGTTAATTTCAATTGTTGTTAAGGTTTTTAACTGACTACAGTTTTTAAACCCACATGAACAATATAGGAGTCCCTTGCATTACCAATGATCCACATATTGGTAGTGGAGCAACTAGGATTTACCTAAATGTTCAAGAAGAAGGTCTCCAAAGTCATCGTACCATGTAAGTTCTCTTATGTGTTGATTGGTTTCTTTATGTTTATGATAATATTTTGATAATAATCTAACTTTCAATTCACAGTTCCGAGTTCGCTGTTCGGCATTATTTTAGAAATCAAGAATGAAGATGAAGCCAGGGAACGAAGAATCAAGATCCAAAGTCGTCCTTCTTTTGTAATTTTTATTTTTGGTTTGCTAATTACTTATAGTTGTAAAAAATATTGGAAAACAAGTTTAATTGAATTAGAATTATATTACCTTTAATATGTAAGTAATGTAGTTCCAATTTATTAATGTAACACATTGTAAATGATTTAATGAAAGATGCTGATCATTGTTAAACGAAATGAACACATATTTATAAGAATTCTCATGTCATTCAGTTGTAATAAATTGGAATTTCATCTTTGTTATACAGAGAGTGAAATTAAGTTTGCATGAGCAAATGTACATGATATACTGTGTTTTTATCAGTTTTAAGTCTTTCTTTCCTCTTTCATTTTATAAATTTTATTGAGTCAAAGTGTGTTTTTAGAGTCTTTTAGTACATTTTTGAGTCTTCACAGGTTTTAGGTTGCTTTGGAATAAAACGAGCTGTTTTGGGATGCAAACACACATTTGGAGATGCAGATTCATGTAGAAGTGTCAGATGTTTGGGATCATATGGATGCCTTTCCACCGTTAGATCTTTCTCTTATTTTGACACAAGATATATACAGATGTTAGCTTTCATTTGAAAGTGATTTCAAGGAAATCTAACGGTGCATTCAAGAGTTACACCCGATTTCGTGAAGACAGGTCATTCTGACGAGTTGTTGAAGCTGATGGAGAAGTAAAACCTGGGAGCATTAGACCGATCGGTCTACATTTGGATCGATCCGTCCCTTACCTCTGACGCAGATTTTGGCGCATATTCGATCCGAAACAGATCCAACTCGTCTCCTATTGTTATTATACCCTAGGCTCGACTTGTTAGCATGGATCCTTCATATTTTTGAGTTCTAAACATTGTCCTTTGCTTTCTAAACAATTTAGGGAGAAGAATCCATCCTCTTGACACTTGGAGAAGATTTCTAAACCCTTTCTTATTATATTTGCAATTTCATTATGGTTTCTTTCATATCTATTTGCTTTGTTTCAATTGCTATGTCTGAGTAGACTCTTAATTGGGTTTTAAGGTTTCAAGTAGAAGAATTCAATGATTTGATAGATTTGATGTATTAGGGAATTCTTAATCTTTAGGTTCTTCAATATACATGTTCTTAATCTTTAGCTAAGAACGAGTCTCGCAAGTCTTTAGTGTACCAGTGCTCCTTGTGATCGATCCCGCATATACTTTACTTCGGTTAAGTTATCGGGTTAAATACTCAAGTAATCAAGTTGGCGCCGCTGCTGGGGAGAAATTGCGTTACCTAAAGATTTAGGATTAGTTTTTAGTCTAGAGCATTTTTTTACAGTTACTAATTATCACTTTTGTTCTCTCTGTGGTGTTTTCAGGTGTATGACCCGTAGCGAAGGCTCATCATATCTCGCAGAATACCAAGCTGATATTGGAAAGTTTGAGAGAGCAAACAGAAGGAAAAAGCAAGCACAAGCAAGAGTTGTTGAAATGGCTGAAGTCACCAACATCAGTTTCAAGAACTTCCTCAGATACCTTATGCTAGGAACGCTGCTGCTGTACAAGCTGCTGCACAAGCTGAAGCTGCACGTTTAGCAGCACAGAACCAAAGACCTGTACCTGTTCGGCAAACGCTGAGAGATCATGATACCCCTAATGCTGAACATTATCGGGACAGATTCCAGTATCCTCTTATTCCCAGGAACGATGCACGTTCAGGTCGTTGAATTTTGATAATCTACGAAGATGGGAGGACTACAAAGCTGTTTTCTTAACATATTACTTCACCCAATCCAGGACAGCTCTTCTGAGGAATAAGATCACTACCTTTCAGCAAGTGGTACGGAGTCTTTCCATGATGCTTGGGAGATGTTCAAAGATTACTACAGGGAGTGTCCTCATCACGGTTTTCCACATGCCACGCTTATCAACACATTCTACAGAGGATGTGATAAGGTTTACAGGATGGCACTAGATAATGGTAGTGGTAGTAACTTCATGACCAAGTCTGATACAGAAGTTGAGTTGTTGATTGAAAATCTTGCAGGTAGCAACAGCAGCCAGGATATTGATTACGACAGGTCCCAGAGAGGCGGTGGACGTGAATCAAAACAGATTGTTTAGTTGACAGCCAAGGTTGAGCAACTTCTTAAGAGAGATCAGAGAATGGTTAACTACTGTGATGATAGTGGTGAACCTCAGGCATACCAAGAGTTCAGTGGAGACGGTTCAGAAGATTTTCATGCTGAGTTGAACTACGTCAATAACTTTCAGGGTAACTATCAGAATAAGGGGTTCAATCAGAACTACAAGAGTCATCCTAACAAATCTTACAGAAGCACTAATGTGGAGAATCCGCAGGATCAGTATATCCAGCGTAGATGGGATTTCAGGGTCAGCAGTTTCAGCCTAAGCCTTTTCCATCAGGGAATGAAAATTTCAGCAACAAGGTGTTTGTACCAAAACCACATGTCGCTAGACAAAGTGGTTTTCAGCAGAAACTCCGGTTTTTAGCAGAAACTCCGGTTTTCAGCAGAAACCCCAGTTCTCTAACTTCCAGGGAGGTTACCAAGCACCTGGAAACACCTCTTCAGGAGATGACGAGATGAAACAGATGATGCAACAGATTCTTAAGGGCCAGAAAAAGAATGCAGCTGATATCAATGTCAAAGTTGATAGCATGTACAATGATCTCCATGTGAAATTTGAGTCACTAGCTTCACATGTTAAGGCGCTTGAGAATCAAGTAGCCCAGACAGCATCTGCTTCTACAAGGCCAATGGGAGTTCTTCCTGGTAAAGCAGTAGCGAACCCGAAGGACTACAACGGTAGTAAGGAGTATGTCTAAGCCA